ACATACACGATTTCACAAACAACACTTGAACAAATATTTTTATCATTCGGAAAAGAAATTCGTACTAATTAATTTTTCTCAAATAAAACTAATTCATAATGAACACAATTTTTTGAAATTACATATGGTCTTTTATAAGTCTTTTTTGTGCTGAATAATTATTTATTGCTGTTTGCCAAATAATTGATTGAATATTTTTACGTTGGCGAACTTATTCTTCACATGCTTGAATTAATAAACTCGCAATATCTAGACAGTCCAGACCGTCAAAAAAAAACACATTTAAACGTGTTAAGAGAGCACGAACTAGTTAAAACACGTCTGGGGTGTGGGTATGGATATGGTTGTGTATCTTTCCCAAGCAAACGTTCACATCCACACCCACATCCTTCTCTTCCATCCTTATAGCCAGCTGAGGCCCAGTCTAGCCAGTTTCAAACGAATTCCATATAAGTTTCTAGGATTCCATACGAATTATACCCAGCTGAAGCCAAGCCTAGCCAGTTTCACACCAATTCTATATAAATTTCTAGGATTCCATAAGAGTTATAGCCAGCTGAAGCCAAGCCTAGCCAGTTTCAAACCAATTCTATATAAATTCCTAAGATTCCATAAGAACTATAACTACCTCAAGCCAAGTCCAGCCAGTTTCAAACTGACTCCATATAAATTCTTAGGATCCCATAAGAATTACAGCCAGCTGAAGCCAAGTCTAGCCAGTTTCAAACCAATCCCATATAAATTCCTAGGATTCCATAAGAATTGTAGCCAGCTCAAGCCAATCCGAGCCAGTTTCACACCAATTCCATATCAGTTCCAAGGATTCTATACGAATTGTAGGCAATACGGTTCAACTCGAGTCAATTTCAGGTCAATTCCATAACAATTCTTAGGACTTCATACGAATTATAGCCAGCTCAAGCGAAGTCTAGCCAGTTTCAGACCAACTCCATACCAATTCCTGGAATTCCATACGAATTTTAGGTAACTCCAGCCAATTCTAACCAATTCCAATTCCTGCAATTCCTACAATTCCAATTCCAACCAATTCTAAGAATTGGAATTGGAATTGGCGCATCCCTAAATAAGACTATAGTATTTTCTAATTGTTAGAATAAAAATAACTTCGATCAATATAATTTCGTAGGTGAACGACGAAAAATGAATGCAAATAACGATGATCATCATCATCATGAAGTTGTTATCAATTCTGTAAGTATATATATATATAGATGTTTTCTTTCTATCTGATTAATATTTGATCGAATGACAGTCTTTGTCAAAAATGATACATTTATTTCCGATTGATCCTATTCAAAAAATTTCACGATATACTGTTAAAATTAATAAGTTTTCTTTTCCGCATGACCAAGATTTTATTAATTCTTATTGTCTTTTTTATTTTTCTTTGTTAATTAGGATCATAATCATAGTAAAGCAAGCATAATGCAAATTGATCGATCAAAATATATATATCATGATGGTGAATTTCTTCCCATCGATTATATTCTTGTATATACACGTTATCATTCAAGTCATTTTCGACGAAGTCATAAATTTAGATGTCAACATGATCAATATAGACAATATTTTCAAGATCGTCTTAGAAGATTAAGTTTTATTGTTGTTGAAGAACGATTAACTGATGAAGTAAATTAAAAAAAAAAAGTTTTCTTTTTTTTCTTTTTTAAAAAAATTTCTATTAGGAAAATGACCTCCTTAATTTACGTCAAGCTGAAGCATCACCTGATATTAATGATAATAATAATAATGATGAAATTAATCATGTATTGGCTCGTAGTTTTTCAACATTACCACGATAAGTATCAACACGTTTACAAAATATTAGTTCACATTTAAAAAAAGATTCAAACGAACATAACAATAATACAAATGGAACACAAATTGATAAGATTGATGAAGAAGAATCTATACAATTAAATAATTCAATAGATAATATTAGACATGAAAATGAATCGAAAGTATGTTAATTATTAAATTCTTATATTCATTTCAGAGTTAAATGACTGTTGACATTTTTTTGCATAGTTTTAAAACACAAAAAGTGGAAGATAATTCGGGTTTTAGTGCTATGTATAGTCGACATTACTCTATTGTTTTATAAAGTTAATGAAAAATTCCAGGGTATTTCTCCTTCTTGAATACATCATATATGTCAAACTTGAAACTTGAACTCAATTAAACAAAAGTTGAACTTCAAGTATCAATTTTCAAGTTTCTAATGAACACAGTCAGTCCCTCGATGCGGTTGTCATGCAAAAATGCACGTACCGCATCTTTCTCGATGGGGTGCCGCGGAAATAAAGGCAACTGAAATTTGAATACATCATATGTTTTGAAGATGATGTTAATTCACTTTGGAAACAATATGCTTCCTCAATTATAATATAATGAACAGATAATCTAACTTGATTTATAAGAAAATTTGCTTAAAACCATAGAATATTTTGCTATAAACTTGCGTTCGAATCTCAGTAAATTCTTTTCTCGTGGTCTTGATCCACACATATTGAACCTTGACTTCTATAGAATTAGTCTGAATCAATATAAAAAGATATACGCGATAGAAACTCGAAGTTTACTTTCACTAAAACAAGTAAATTGGCACAAGAATGAATTTTTGATTTAAGTGCAACGAAAGCCACTAGTTACATCAGCCATGTCAAACACTGTGGAGATAGCATTTAAAAAGGTCGATATATATCTCGAAGAAATTGAAGAAGAACGAAATGATCATGACGACGATGTTTGGAAGAATTTATAGTATAGATGATTGTTGATGATTATTGACTTTTATAGTGAATTGACATAAATGTCTTAAAATTATTTTCGATTGATCGATTTGAATTTAGAAAATTATTTTGATGAAAGTATCAATAAAATAAAGATTTAAGAGAATTTTTTGAAAGTATTGATGCATTATAATCATTATCGATCTCGATTTTGCATGGATTGATAGACAAGAAGTTACGCTATATGTCCATTGTATCATAATTGAGAAAACATTTTCTTCAAAATTCCTGATGTATGCAAGAAGAAAAGCGACTGAAATTTTTTATAGAATTTGTAAAGTGATAGAGCAATGTCGATTCTAGATCATGTTGAAATCCGCGATATTTTTGGTTTTAAAATTATTCAAAAAATGTCCACAGTCATTTAATTCTGAAACGGACTATAATTTCTATAAAAAAAAAATTATTTTATTTTATTTTATTTTTTTTGAGAAAAAAATCTCAAACAATAACTGAACGTGAAGATGAAATTGAACAAGATGAACGATATTTTGTTAAAATTCATGCACCATTTGAAGCACTTCTTGTTTTAGTAAGATAAAATTAAAAAAGAGAATTTTTATTTATTTAATTTTTCTTTTTTTTATAATTTGATTTATATAGGCGGAAAAATTAAAAGTTAAATTACCATTTAGTGAAAATAAATCACCATTAAAACCTAGTTTATTTGATCAAGGTTTACCATGTCAATCAACTCGTCTTAATCCATGTGAATTTCCTACACCACATAAAGGAAAATCTTTTTTTACGGCTTGTTATCAAAAAAGTCTTCATTATAGGTTTGTAGAGAATATAATATAAATATAAATTCTACATAGAATTAAATAGATTTTCGAAATATTTTGATGATGTTGATAAAGTCTTTCGTCCATCTGAACGAAGTCGACTTGTTTATGAAACTCTTCTTCGTTGTCCATATCGATCATCAGAACCAATGCTTTCAGATAAGTTTAATCATTGTACTTCGTAACTCGTTTTTGTTTTTTTGAAATCTAAAGAAAAAAAAAAAACAAAAGTATGAAATTCTATTCGAAATTTTGACTAATTTTTCTAGGCAACCAGCTTGTTTTATTTTTTAATGACCATAAGCATTATGTAATATGAAGATTTAACATACTTACCTTTGATTAATCTCATTTGATTTTTTTTTTCATTAATGAATATAGAAATAAAATAAAAAAGTTGAACTGTTTTTTTCTTTTTCTTTTTCTTTTTAGCTATGAATGGAACAAAAGATGAATTATCAGAAATAGATTCAAGATTAACAAATCATAATTTGAATAGAAAAATGCTACAAGCAACTGCAAGTGAAGATCAAACATTAAAAATTGAAGAAGTTTTTACATCAAGTACAAGACAATCAGGTATGATTTTATTTCATCGATATTCTTTTGCTTTTTTTTTTGTGAAATTAATAAATCATCTAATTAAACTTTTAGGAACGAAAGATACAGGTAACAAATAAAAAAACAACCGAGTAGTATTTGATGTTCATAGATTTTTCACGTGCTTCTTCTTTTCATTAGTATTTATCACTTGTTTGATATTTGCTTATATATCTCATTTGATTTAATTTAATTGTTTTATGTTTAGTTTCTTTTTTTTTACGGTGCATGTTATTTGATGAGCATTCGGATGATAAGTATATGAAATTTTGTCGTCATAGGTATTGAAGTATTACTCAAAGAAGGTGTATATGAAGCAGCATATCCATTACATGATCAACTTAGTCGTGAACAAGATGCTGGTGAACCGGAAACATGGAATGATCGAATGGTAAATTTATACCTAAGTCAAATAATCAGACGCTAAAATTTTACAAAATCGTACCTCTAATCTTGTAAAATCAGATGAAAATCATAGTTTCAAAAATCTTATACTAACGAGCGAAGTTCTCAAACTGATAAATCACTTTTGAGTCTAGACTTTAAATGAATACAGGAACACTAGAAAAATTAATTTTCGAATTTCGACTTAAAGCTTTGCATAGAGACAGACTTTTATGAGAGTAGTTTATTGTGAAAAATTCGAAACTTTGAATTTACTTCTATCCTGAACGGAGAACATCAAATCTGCCTGTTTATCTGAATGATATAAAAGACACGCTATTATCATAGTTGTATCTTAGGATAGGAATGGCGACAAGATTTGAAACATTCACAAAACTCTATTTTGATTAAGATCTGTCTCTACGCAAAGTTATGTTTGCAGCAATAAGCTAAGGACGAGAACTTTTTTCAAAGTATTCATAGCTCATTTCGATCTACATAATGCACATAATCTTGACTCAAAAGCGATTAATTAATTGGAGGATTTCTCTCGTAAGTCATAATACTAAAACTTTTTCAGTTTGGCAGGGGCTGCGAAACTTAAAAGAGTTCTTCACCCAGATACACTCTTGGAACTTTTTTTGACGAAACCATTCAAGTTTAAAACCTCAAAAAAAATTCCGAGAGTATGTTCGGATGAAGAATTATTTTAGGTTTCTCAGCCTCTGCCGAACTTTATTTCTGAGATTGAAATTTTTCTTTTGTATAATTTCATCTTTTTTTTTTACTTGGATATATTTTTGATAAATCGAAAAAATATTTTTTTTTCTTAAGAAATTATATCATCGTTGGGCGAAATTAAAAAATATATTTCGTATTCAACCAATTCATGCTATAAGAGATTATTATGGTGAACGTTTGGCATTTTATTTTGCTTGGCTTGGATGGTATAATTCATTATTAATAATCCCATCAATTCTTGGAATATTTGTTCTTTTATGGGGTCTTCTTTCGGTTAAATATGATAGACCAACACTTGATATATGTAATTCAACTTCTAGTTATTTAATGTGTCCAAAACTTGTAAAAAACAGAAAAAATATTTTTTTTAATAATCTTAATTATATTATTTTAATTTTAGGATCGACAATCATATTGGTTTTTAAATGAAACTTGTTTCAACGCAAAAGTATGTCGAAAAACAAGAACTAATCAATTATTGTTTTTTTCTTTAGATGTCTTATATTTTTGACAATTCAGCTTCTGTAGCTTTTGCTATAATGATAAGTATATTTGCTGTAAGTATTAATTTCCTTTGGCAACGACATGAATTTCGACTTCAATATGAATGGGATATGGTAATAGACAAAAAACAAACAAATCATTTATTGTATTCAATAAGAATAAATTGTTTTTGTGTTTTTCTTAGACGGATATTGCTGAAGAAACTGAAACATTACGACCAGATTTTGAACGACGTGTTGAAAAAACAATTATAAATAAAGTAACTGACAAACTTGAACCATATGTACCAGCTTATAAAAGATTTCTTTATTATACGTATGTTTATTTTGTTTTTTTTTTCTTTTAATTTAATATATTAAATAAATCATTTTTATATAGATCATCATTTTCGATTGTAGTATTAATGGTATTACTCGTTTTAGCTGTTGTTACTGGTATTGTTATTTATCGGTAATAATAAGATTGTCGTTGTTGTTTAAGTTTGATCATAAATAATTAATTTTTGATTAGATTAAGTGTCTCAGCAGCATTTAATACAATCGATAGAGAAATGTCGATTTATCGATGGAAACCAATTATTGTTCCAATAACTGGAGGTATTGAAAACAAAAAAAAGGATTCATGATTTATTTGCTAATTTAAATTTCGATATTGTTAAGAAAAAATCAGTCTGTTCATGTATAGAGTTCGATACGATATCGGTAATATCAATCGAAAATTATTACATTCGACAAATAAATTGCGTATTGATTATTGTTGAAAATTAGAACTTCTTTAAGTCTTACTTTTTATATCAGTCGTAGATCGACTGTGTCAAATTGACTTCTCATCGTTAGCCATTATCAGTCGCATCTACTACTATATAACCATTTATCTGCATCAAAGTTTAAAAACATATTATGATCATTTAAAATTTAAGAAAAATTTTTGAATGATTTAAAAGACCCTTAAGTATAGATTTTTACTATCGTTTAGTATCTTTTTCTTTGCTAGAGATCTTTGATGTAGAATGTTGTGCTTGTCATTTAATTGCTAAAGAAACGTACTCATTGACTTTTGACTCTGGTTGCTATGAAGAGCATGGGAAGGAATGAGCTGCAAAACTTTTACTTAGAACTTACACTCACTATTTTTCTTCGAAAATATATAGGTGAAAATCTATATACTACCTTTGATTTACTCTAATCTATGTGTTATAATTTTTGTTTTATTTTTATTCCTCTATGAAGTTTTACATATAGTAAAATTATTGAGATACTTTGATTTTACTAAAACAATTTATAAGATAGTAGTTATTCACAAATGAATAATTTGATCATTCTTTCTATTTCAATCGATACTGATAAAAACTTCATAGACATATATTTTTGTTGAAGTACGACATGATAAACTAGGATGTATATTTTCTATTTGATGAATTCTATTAACTTTTTATATTTATATCCTATAGAAAAACTTCTTTTTTTAAAATTTATAATTAATAGAAATTATTTGAATGTCATTTTACTTAAAGCTTTCATGATATGCTTATAAGACGCCCGCAATTGGAAGTTTGAGTAAAAACTTTTTGACGTTTTTATGTCACGATTGGATAGACCTCATCGAATTACCTGAAAAGCCGTTGTTTTTGTCGTGAAACTTAGGTCTAGAAAAAATCAGAAAAACCGATAAAAATTGAACTATGCCAAAAGTATCAAGTTCCGTTAGCCTCAATATTTATCCGAATTTTCGTTTTGATTCTACTAGCCATAAATATGAGTTTGACTATCAGAAGTTCAATTTCGAAAGAAACGAATATCATATTCAGAATCTACATCAAATAGTATATTCAACAATACTAATTTCCGTCAAATAAACGATTTTTCTCAACAATCAAACAATATTTTTCAAAAAACATACATTATATCTTTTTTTTCCTAACTATATGATGAGTAAAATAAAAAAAAAAAGAACATTCAGACAAATATTGAGGCTACTAAGAGTTGATACTTTTAGCATATTTCAATTTTTATAGACTTTTTTGATTTTGTTTTTTGTTAACCCTAATTTTCACTACAACAACATCATCTAAATATGTCAAAAAACAACATTGTTTTTCTTGTTTAGCACTAATCAATTTAATTATAATTCTAATTTTACAATATTTCTATGAAATTCTTGCTATATGGTTAACAAATGTTGAATTACATCGAACTGATAAAACTTATGAAGCAAGTTTAACAATAAAAATGTTTTTATTTCAATTTGTTAATTATTATGCAAGTATATTTTATATAGCATTAATAAAACCATTAATTATATATAAACCAACATATCTTGATCGACATTCAATAGCATTTCGTTTTGAAGAATGTGATGTAAGTGGTTGTGTATGGGAATTATCAATACAACTAATAACTATAATGATTGGTAAACAATTAATATCAAATATATGGGAATTTTATTTTTCAAAATTATGGAATATGTGTCGTAAACGTATTACATTTCGTCATACAGTACGACAAATAAATAAACGTAATGCTAAAATGAAAAAATTAGATGAACCAATTTTACCAATTAATTTAAAACGTTCATATGAAGAAGATTTCTTATTACAACCATTTGAATTAACAACATTATTTTATGAATATTTAGAAATTATTTTACAATTTGGTTTTATAACATTTTTTTGTTTATCATTTCCATTAGCACCATTATTTGCATGCATAAATAATATATTTGAAATACGTATTGATGCACTTAAAGTAGTTAAAGAATTTCGTCGACCTGTTGCACGTCGTGCAATGGGTATTGGAACATGGAATTCAATATTAAAAATAATGGCTAAAATAACTGTTTTATCAAATGCATTTTTAATTGCAATTACATCAGAATATATACCAAGACAAGTTTATTATTGGACTATTGGAAATTATTCATTAAATGGTTTTCTTAATCATACATTGGCACCATTTCATTCAAATGATTTTCCATTAATTATTAATCGTACATTACTTGAATGTCAATTTATTGAATCACGTTTAATTGATTTATCTAAACAATCAACATTTTTTATACCATTTGGTCAATCATATCATTTATCATATTTTGATTGTAATTCAACATTAGCTAATGAAATACGTTCACAAATTGATTTTTCGACTTGTTATTATAAAGATTATCGACTTGTAAGAATTAAATATGAATAATTCATGTTTTTGTTTTTTTGTTTTCTTTTATATAGGATCATACACGAAATTGTGAACGTTCATATATGTTTTATTATGTAATGGTTGCACGATTAGCATTTGTTATTATTTTCGAAGTAAAATTCTTTTAAATATTTTGTTAATATATTAATAATTGATTATTTTTTTATTTGTTTAGCATTTTGTATATAGTATTATTTTTCTTGTTCGAAGTCTTATTTCACGTGTACCACGTAATGTTCGAGCTCAACTTAATCGATGTCGATATTTAGTACAACAAATGTATTGGTATGTATTCGTTGTTGTTGTTGTTGTTGTTTTCTAAATAGTTTTATTATTATATTAATAGGGGTGCTGAATTGTATGCTCAAAATCCAAATCTTATTAAAAAAGATGAAAATCGTGTTCGAATTGATGAACAAGATCACGAATATAATCGACAAAGTACTCTTCCATCGCTTACGACTATTCCAAATGAATTAAATTTCGATGCATGTGTTACTCCAGAATTGTGATAAAAAGTTATTCAAATATTATTATAATCAAATTTTAGTCATTTTTATCATTCTACTAGTATAGAATTAATAAATATAATCATTCAATGATTTCTCTTCTCATAATCATGTAGTTATTAGAGTTAATACTTTTTTTTTCTATTTAAATATAAACAGTAAGGATTATAGATTTATAAGTTTGCTTTAATTTTTAAGAACAAAAAGCATTACAATCGGAATGAAGATTATGGCGACTAATGCAGCATGACAATTGGAGATCAAGAAGTTTACATTCACGAGTAGAGCCTGTCGGATCCAAAATTTTCAGACTCGGGACCAATCAAACTGTACTCTGATACTCTATGAAATTTATGAAGAAACCTTCTTAAATTGAAAATCGCCTTTGAGTTTGAACGCTTAGCATAAGATAGATCGCAATGAGCTATTAAAAACCTTGAAAAGCCATTTTACTGAAATTTTAGCCTATAGCACTGTATGTATAATAGAATTGAATGACGATATTTTAATCTAACATCTTGCTCATAGATAGACCTACTTGTAATTAGAATGTTCGAAAAAATTCAGCTTATAGGAATATTCTCTTCACGAGATACTGAACGTCCAAAAATCACTCTTATTCAAAGAAAGATTCGAGAATGTCATGTTTTTGGCAATTCAATATCTCGTGAAGGGAACATTCCTATGAACTGAAAATATGAGAACATTCTAATCATAAGTAGAGCTATCTATGAACAAAAAGTTCAGACCAAAATATGCTCATTGGATTCTTTTGTACATCCCGTGCTATAGGCCAAAATTTACAGTAGGGTGTGGGTGTGGGTGCAGTTGAAGAGAAGACTGACACACACACCCACACCCACACTCATATTTTATGAAAAATCAATTATAGATAAGTGGGTGTGGGTCTTCTATCCTTCACACTGACACCCACCCCACACATACTCACCCACACCCGCCAAAAGTAAGTCATATTTCTTTTCTTTTTGCCCGAACATATTTTTTAAACTACGATCCTTTGATTTGGCACTTTACTGGTAGATTGAATAGTGTCCTTTCGATGTGCGTTCTTACGAAAAACTCTATTTTTCGAAATTTTTCTGTTTCTAAAATAATGAGAAGTGGATTAAATGCATTTACTGTATTCGATTGATTAGGAGTTTCGTTAACTATATGATAGTGTTTATTTAGGCTACAAAAAAAAAACATCGTGAGATGGAGTCACACAAAACTCAGTGAGCAAAACCATGCCTGTTCTGCACATATTTATCGCTGGAATTACTGCATTCGTCATAAGAAACTGCCTCTACAATCGTTTAAAATAAACTTTCAATATTTATCTGTATCAAAAACATACGTTCGAAACTAGATTTTCAGGCAAAGCATCCGCATATGTCAGTTGACCACTCCTTCTAACTTTCTCCCATCGGACTGAAACCAGATTTATATAACCGTGAAAGATAGAATCTCGTTTCTGTTTAAGAAACTTTATGTATTTTGTTTATTCAAAAAAAAAGACACTGAGGTTTTTTTAAAAGCTCCAAACTATGTCTCAGATACAGTCGTACGTATCTGCACCAAAAACTTCACTTCAATAGGACAAAATCCAATGCAAATGTCTATGACAAGATGGATGCTCCTGGAAAAGTAGAAGTTCACCAAAAAATTCTAAACGCCGCAAGTGCCCCGTTATTTTCGACGTTCTATTTGTGGTAAAGATTCCAATCCGATCGCCCTAGTCGTCTCTGAGACCTAAAAGCCATTAGAAAGAAGAGGACAGATGGTAACTGCCTTAATACGTATTGTAGTGTTGTAGTACTGTTGGTCTGTGCTGAATTGTTTTTCTACGCATGACCACGTAGAAAGAACAGATGGAATAGTCAAGAGTTCTTCAAGTTTCAAAATTCTATGCTCGAGCCATTGAGACTAAAATGCGCTTTCATCAGTAATAGCCACTATCCACTTGATTTTCACCACTGGTGAAAATCATGTTTTTCAATATTCAAATAGTCATTTTTGACGAACTCGCTTGAGATAGGTTTTCTAAAATGGTTGTTGAGTTATTTGAAAAAAGAGTGCAAGGTTCCATACCTTTTCACTGAAAACCTTTTATCAATTTCATAAAATATCGTTATTTATTAAAGAAAGATCTTAATGAGTTGCAAAAATCAAACTCCAAAGTCGAGAAATCTTCTTTAGATTCTGACCAAACGTTGACTTTTTATTCGAAAAAAATTCATTTTTTCTAGAAGTTGATAAATGGTTTTCAAAGTTTTGAAATCTAAATCTATGAATCGTTTCTCAAAGGATTTTCCGAAAACATCTTCGCAAGGCCTACTTCAACCGTCTAACTTCGAAACAATCTCGAGAAATTCTATATCGACCACCTCACCCTCAAGATAGTCATAGTCTTTGAGTTTATGAACAGCGAACTAAATCATTTTCTTACTTAGACCGTTCTCATACCACAATCTTTTTAATCGGTATGCCGTGTTCGAGAAAATCAACTCTTGGTACACGTTTTGCTAACAAATTAAACTATGTATTCATTGACATTGATGATGAAATCAGTAAGGAAATCCATGGCTGCTCAATCATAGAATACATCAACCAAAATGGATGGCAAATATTTCATTCCTTAGAACGAAGAGTGTTCAAACAAGTTGTCGAGGAAACATCATCATTTACCAATCATGTTGTAATTTCATGTGGTGGCGGTTGTATCAAATCTGTAGAATTGCGTGAGGAATTATACCAACAACCGTTTGTTATTTATATTAATCGTGATATAAACGATATCAAAGAGGACTACTGCACAAGTGATCCTGATATTCGGCCATACATGGATCTGGATAAAAAATTCCAAGAACGTAAGGCACTTTATCGTCAAGGTTCAAAATATGAATTTTGTCTATTAAAAAGCGATCGCGATTGGAAAACAAATGAAGTAAACCTTCTATACTTTATTAAACGAATCATCAATAAAATACCACAGTTACCAGTTTCTAATGATAGTTTTTTCACATGTTTAACATACAAGAATCTGTTAAATGTTGCCACAGATAAATTTGCAGCTGTAATTCATGGATGCGAGGCAATCGAGATGCGTATTGATTTGTTAGAGTCCTATGACGCTGATTTTATTGACCAGCAAATAGCTTACATAAGAAAATATACGTCTTTACCTATTATCTATACAGTACGTAGTCAAACAAACTATGGCAAATTCGATCCTGATCAAGTGGAAATTTTCACACTCTTAGATTATGGGATCCGGTTTGGATGTGAATTTATCGATATGGAAGTTAACTGGAGTGATAAGATTAAAAAATATTGACTGAATACAGTTGAAAACAAACATCCATTCATTATCGCTAGTTTACATATGAAACTATCTATATTTGAGTTTGGTCGAGCTATTCATCAGTGCACTAGTAACGGTCGAGTTGATATAGTTAAAATTGCTATAGACATCGATAACAGCACATCAGTATCCGAAGATGTTCTACCTATTTTTATTCAACTAAAAGAATTTTTCAAGCAGTCGAAGGGCCTCAAACTTATTTTCGTCGCAATGGGTGATCAAGGAAAGTTGACGCGTATACTCAATCGATTTATGACCCCAGTCACCCATGAGTTGTTAGAATATCCAGCTGCTAAAGGACAATTAACAGCGAAACAAATCCAAGAGGCTTGATGTGCAACGGGTATAATTCAAGTAAAACAATATTATCTTTTTGGAACTCCTATACAACACTCCTTGTTTCCATTTATGCATCAGACTGGTTTTGATTACTTTTATTTACCATACAAGTATGAAAAATACGAAATAAATGATGTTTCAATCGTTCAGAATGTTATGAAATAATCAAATTTTGGAGATTGTAGCGTCACTATTCCATTGAAAGAAGATATTTATGCGTTATTGATGTCTGATACCAACAATACAGTGAGCGATTCAGCGAAAAAAATCGGCGCAGTAAATACTATTAACAAACTTGAAAATGGTAAACTTTATGGTGATAACACGGACTAGGAAGCTATTAATAAATTAATTACTGAACAGATATCCACTAAAGGTTCAGCAGTTATAATTGGTGCCGGTGGAACTGCGCGTGCTGCTTTGTATGCACTGAGTCATGTTGAAGACGTTCAGCTTATATACTTGTACAATCCTCGCAATCCCGAAAAAGCAACTAATTTGACACGTACGTACAATAATCAAAAGATATTGGCGGTGACAAGAGACGCTGTTAACAAGCTAGAAAATATATGTGTTGTCATCAATAGCTTACCATCATCAATCAATTTCACATTGGATTATCTATTTTTTGAGAAAAACTCTTCATCGGGGCATGATTCAATTTTATTTGACGCCAGCTATATACCGTATCAAACAGCATTAATAAAGCAAGCCCAGCAGTATAACTGGAATATTATTTATGGTATTGATATGTTTATCGAGCAAGGTTTAGAACAATTTCAAATTTGGACAGGAAAAGCGATTGCTGTCGCTCCAATAATAAGAGAAACCGTACGCAAAACTTATCATAGAATCACCGATCAAAATGACTAAATAACTGGTTCTCTTGACCCTTGTTTTCTTTCATTTTCAATTAATATAAAAGAAGACAATTGATAAAAATGAGTTTTCGCGACACGAGAATTGTGCCAGAGAAGCTCAGATACGTGTGGGTAACTGATGAGAAGATCCTCATCCATATCCCACACTCTCACCCACACCCACGTCCAATTGAACATTCTACAATTATAATACACATACTCTAAATGATCCTAGTGCATAGAAAATTAAATATATCTGAATGAAAAGCGAAATAGTCACCAAATAGCAGATGATAACAAACGTTGATTTTGTTATTGCAGTCATGGAGGAAAAACTTCAGATGTTAGATAGATAGTTGACAGTGCCACACAGTAAAATTGTGTGTTTTTATACATGTATATATATGAATATGGATGGAGATAGATGGAATGGCACAGAAAAAATATAGGAAGTGTTATTAATGCAGCTTCATGGCATCCCTTCACTAATACTGCGTAAATAATCTGCAGTGACATCATCTTTCAGGTATATGTGAATAATGTATGATGAAGTTGTATGAATAACACTTTCGATATGTTTTCTTTCTATCAAATCTATACATGCCGATAAGTGTGGCAATACGTGGGAAAAGGAGCACACAGTTGAGGAAGCAGATGAATCAGGCACTAGCCTGAGTCAGTTATTACATTTATGAGTAGTAGCAAACAATATGGTTTTCATCGATAAATGGAAGTTATCAGCGTAATCCTTGTAGGATTAAAATGTGAAAAACGATATACAGTCTACGACAAAAGTTTAAGCGAATTTGTTTTTTTCAAATTGTTTTTCGACAATTTTTTTTATCAATTTTTCCTTTACATTAAAAGGTACTGATCTGATTCAGATGGCGATATAGATAGTACGAGAGACCAGCTACATCATGTACTATAGAACAAGACTCTGCCTGTCGATATAGATTTTTCATAATTAAAATGATTTTTTTTTCTATGCAAAAATATGTTTAAGTGTCTTTCAGTATTTCGCATATCCTGACCAAGAGATTTTTGTTAAAGTAAAAAAAAGAAATACATCAATCGATAGAGAATTTCACGTTCTATCAGTTTATAAGAAAATATTTTTTTTCAGAGTCGATCTTCACCTCCAAAACTTGGTTTTAGTGAGAATAATCAGCAAAACGGAAAAAGTGAAATTATCTCCTACAAACTCCCTCTTATCATAATGTCTTATACACTACTGGAAACAGCATTCAAAGCTGAACAAAATGTTCTATTTGAAGTTCGAATATCACTGATTTTTCATACCCACCTTGTTGAAATAAAGTTTTAAGAAACACGACTAGCTTTTGTTTCTTAAATATTTTGACGGGAGGAAAAGAGCTATTATATGGTGACTCGTAGGTCCTCAAGAGCTATTATATGGGAGTACCCATAGGTCCTCAAGGGGATAAGGCAATAAGGTTAGGCCTATAAGAGGTAAGGCTGTAGGGGTTAAGGAATAAGGGGTAAGGATATAAGGGAGTGAGACTAATAGAGGATAAGGCTATAAGGTGTAAGGTTAGAAGGATACAGGAGAGTAAAGCTATTAGAGAACAAGGGTATAAGATTTATTTAATGTTTCTTTTTCGTTGATTCATATTAACAAACAAAAAAAAAACACGTTAAAGTAAAACATTTAGTTATCCTCAATGTTCATTTGTCGTTGCTCGATCTTTTGAACGAGTGATTCAACAACATCAATATGATTTGTAACAGTTTGTAGATGAGTTCTAACAGTAAATGTAGCAACAAGACATTTGACAAGATGACTAAAACGTAGAACAGCTTGTTCAAAGGTATATGTATACAATAGATATTTCCATATCAATTCAGCATAGATATTTTGTATATGTAAGAATGTTTGAATATCGATCAAATAGCTGGGTGAAGCGTTTTCATTGAAGAGAGTACAATTACTTGGGCAAAAAGCCAACAGTGCTAATGTTAATTTAACAATATTAACATCTGGATCGAGTAATGAAGTGAGATTCAATGAGAGATTATATGGAAGAGTGCCATAAGTGATTTCGAGACCATTACAAAAAGCTGAATTTGTAATAAGACCAGATTGACGCATTATAAAACATGTACTAAGACAACCGACATTTTCGACAGAACCACGCAATACGATTGAACGATGATGAAGAGGTAATGAAGCAAAATCATGATTTGATTGAATAAATGGTTCTATTGTTTGACAAATAATTGTAATAATGTCGAGAATTCTTTTTGAATCAATTTTAAAACGTAATTTTGGCTGTAAACTATCCAATTCTTTGAGAAAATCCTTGGCAGCTGGTAGAACATTATGTTCATCATAGCAATGAATCAAATTGGAAAGATGAGTCCATTGATCACTGTTTAATAATGATCGATCTTGTTCAAGTAAATTTAATGTTGATATCTATATGAAAATGGCAAAAAAATAGAATTAATAGTTTATCTTAATTAGAAATTGAAAATTCTTCCTGTTTTTTAATAAAAAAAAATTTCATTTATAAAAACTTTTCTGATAACAATAAAAATATAAAAATAGAAATCGAATTTGCTTATAACTGTTGATTTCAATCATTGAACACTAAGACTTGTTTTTTTTATTAATAATTTTCAGTTTTTCTTAATATGATTAAATGAAGATGTATATTACGTAATGTTGTATGTAACCGAGCTAGACATGTGCAAATCAGTCTTAGCTCCATTTTCGGCTCAGCCAGAATTGAAACAATTCTTTTTTGTCTAAAATCACAGCTCGAATCTAAAAGCTTTTTTTGACCGAGATCAACACTAAACAATATTAGTCCCAGTCATGTCTAAAATGAGGATCTCAATCACTACACAGATATGTTATCTTTCTTCTTTTCCTTTTATTTGATGACTGTTGTTTCTCTTGTAACTTTCTATCGATGGTGACTGAATTCGAATGAGAAAAAAAATATAATATAAAAAGTTGTAACCTGTTGTGGACATTTGTCTTTCCAACTTTTTATTTGAACTGATTTTGGCAATGTATTGACTTTTTCCATTCTCTTTGGATAAGATGATCGAATCATCTCAGTACACACCCCAACTTGAAAACATTTTGCCAATCTGCATGCAGAACATACATGACGATTACATCTATTCACTTCACATTGATCATCAAAATGACATTTAAGTGTTTTCTAAACAATTTCATACAAAGAAAATTCTTCGTTTTCATTTTAACTAACCTTTTGATTTTCTGCATTTCGTTTAAAAAATACTTTACATGATTCACATGCTATTGCACCATAATATGAATAAGAGGCAGCTACACCACAAATTTTGCATACAGACCGATTTCTATTCCGTCCTTCCATGATTAAAATGATAGGAAACACTATTGACGACTTTAAATGGTTTATTTCTTCTTTTATGAGCAACACTAGCTGCCAAAAACATTCTCTATGTCCAACAAGCCAATAAAACGTTAAGAAAAATGAAAAAAAAGAATGTAAACGAAGTTTATTTTTTCTTTCTATGACAAGCGATGAAGAAAGAAACTCGAACTATATATATACATATTAATACGCCATTTCTAAGCGCACGTGTGTAGAATATAAGAACAGAAAGAAACACAAATTTGTCCGCGATGACTTTATTATCCTGTATAAAACCGAATGCTTTCTTCGTTCTCATTTTTTTTGCACTTGTTGACCAGATGAAAGATGTAGAGTAAGTTGGGGTAAACGTAGAAGAAAAATCGAACATGTTTTGTATAATCTTTATATCTTTTTTATTCCCTCGACTGTAGGGAGGGTCATATGAAAAAAAATAGTTTGTGTGTGGCAGTGTGGCGGGGTCAAAAGAACATCCAGGTCAAAAAAACATCGAGGTCAAAAAAACATCGTCTAAAATATTAATGGGCATTCGTTTTCCACATGTGCCTCCAGTAAAGTTTGACCAAAGGTTTTCGGGGCCGAGGAATCGAACGGTACCATTAGTTTTTGGATTTTTTCAAATAATTTTTTTTGCTAAAAAAAGGCTTTTTTAAAGAAAATAATGATTTTCTATAAAGTTTGACCAAAGGTTTTCGAGGTCAAGGGATCGAATCGTACCATTAGTTTTGAATTTTTTCAAGTAATTTTTTTTGCTAAAAAAAGACTTTTTTTAAGAAAACAATGAATTTTTATAAAGTTTGACCAAAGGCTTCGGGGTCAGAGAATCGAACGGTGCCATTGGTTTTTGGATTTTTTCAAGTAATTTTTTTTGCTAAAAAAGACTTTTTTTAAGAAAATAATGAATTTTTATAAAGTTTGACCAAAGGCTTTCGGGGTCGGGGAATCGAACAGTACCATTGGTTTTTGAATTTTTTCAAATAATTTTTTTTACTAAAAAAGGCTTTTGTAAGAAAATAATTCCCTGGAATGTAAGGAGTCATATAAAAAAAAAATTGTGTGCATTTGTGGGTGGCTGGCAAGGTCAAAGGTCAAAAAAACAAGAGATTAGAAAATTTAATTGGTTATATATCAACAGGCAACCAATTTAGGATTTTGGAAATTGGCCTTTCTACCCATCAGATTCTTTCAGCCCAGAAGACCAGCCAATCAGGGTTTTTGACATCTGTCTTACCACCAATCAGATTTTTTCAGCTCAAAAGTCCAGCCAATCAGAGGTTTCTGGTATCGATCTTCCTACCAATCAGATTGTTTCAGCCCAAAAGTCCAGCCAATCAGAGGTTTTGATATCGGGCTTTCCACGAATCAGATGGGCGGCTCCCAAAATTGGCCATTTGGAATGAAACACCAAAAAATTCAACGAATTAGAGGAAACAAAGTTTGAACAAAGATAAGCTAGGTTGAGGTATGAGAATCTAAGACTGATTATCAAAATTACCAATCAAGAAAATTTCACTAAATAGACGATGTTTAAAGGAAAAGGCAATACTCTGCTTTTTAGAAGCTGCTGCAATACTATTTATCAAATGAAATAAACGGTATGCTTATGTTGAATGAGATGCAAAAGTACTAAAAGTATTTCATGTCTATATCTGTTTCATATATGCTTTGGGTAAAACAAGCTTTACTGAATCTAATTACATTTTAAATATGAGAGGAAATGATAGCTAGATAGAATTTGTTGAATTGACTTATGTCGGTAATATAGTGCAGTTAAAGTGAGAGAATATTCTGATATATGGAGAATGTTTAATCTTTTGTGTCTTGTGGTTTAGCAATCCGCAAAGCGGCGTTTGTCGCATTTAACGTTACAAGCGATTTTCATAGTGTATTGGCTTTTTCTAGAACATTCTGTAAAAATCTGGCATTTGTCTCACTATATTTCTTCACATTTAGCATTTCTTATTTATTCATTATGAAGATAAATGTTGCTCATCGCTATTCTAGCTTTATCAAGAGTTATTCCAGTGGCGGACCTAGGATTGTGGAAGAGAGGGACGATTACAGAGAGAAATCATTTTTTAAGCGCATCAGAGGTAGTGCAGACTAGGTTTTCATTCATTTTTTCCAGGAGAAATCGAAAAAGTTTTCTCGGAGAGAGGGACGATAGCTCCATCGGTCCTCCCCCAAATCCATCAGTAAGTTATTCGAATAATATCTCTAAGGTTGACCACATTGAGACAGACCAAAGATAACATGAAAATTGAAATGTGTACTGATTTCGTCTGAGATAAATCGTTTAAGCCATTTTTTTCAAATCTGAACTCAGTTGCGGCATACATCTATTCTGCATTGATGTTCCCAAGCCAATTCGCGAGAAGAAAAGTAGTGCATAACAGGAAGTGATTTTGTCTATAGAACGAATCTCATAAATAAAAATGTACGGTATAAAAATCGGACTATATTCTTGTATCTAATTTAGATAAAATTTAGCTTTCTTTTCCAAAGTGATAGAAGGTGATATAGAAATATGAAATCATGGAATACACTTTTTTTGAAATTTCTATATATAAAGGCTTAATTTATTTTAAAATCTTGTATCGACTACCGTTAATACTGGCTTGAGCTCTACTAATGAAAATTACTGCAATATATTCATTACTAGTTCGATCTTTCCAATCTGTTGTCTAAACAAAAATTGTATTTTTTAAATTATTGACATCAACGTGGAAGAGCGCAACGTCGTGTTGCGAAGAATAAAAAAGAAAAATAGCATAGAGAGAGATTATTACAATTTTACTTGAAGCTATTAATATACCTGTCGTTGTCCATAACTATATGATGTGATCGATACAAAAATACCTATCTTTGTTTATTAAGTGCATCGGAATATGACCATGAATAGATGAAAGTACAGTGACAATCCCAAATCCAAAGCTAAAGTGGCACTATTGGAAGTGATAAAAATGTAAGATCACCTAGTGATCATCATCATAGCTCCAGAGTTGATGAAAAATTATAAACTAAACAATAGCAGATCTGGATATGGTCATTATCATGGATCAAAAGATTTGATGAAAAAATATAAAAATATATACTAAACAATAGAAATTCTGGACATCGTCATCATCGTAAACAAAGGATGTGACGAAACAATATAGACTAAACAATAGAAGATCTGGATATGGTCATTATCATGGATCAAAAGATTTGACGAAAAAATATAAAAATATAGACTAAACAATAGAAAATCTGGATATCGTCATCATCGTAAACAAAGGATATAACGAAACAATATAGACTAAACAATAGAAGACCTGGATATTGTCATTATAGGTCAAAATATGTGCCAAAAAATATAGACTAAACAATAAGAAAATTAAATATCAATTAGTCCATATTTTGAGTATAAATAGAGACGCAATTGTCATAGTCTGTTATTCGATGGATTAACTAGCTATTATTACTACCAAGAATCTTATGTTAGCGATACGGCTATGTACAATATATGTCTTACCATATGATTCATTGATATATGTTCTACGCAACTTATGAAATTTCATCATATCATCATTTACTATGTCTACTTTGTTGTTAAATATACTACAAATCGTAACAATACTTACAGAATTTAAGCAAATCAACTACAGAATTATAATTGAGGGTATTTATAACCGATCCATTGTGGAACCTAACCCATTGTGAGATTTTCATAAACGATAACTTATACATAGTGAATGGATGCGAAAATAATTGTAAAATTAGCCTGTTCAATTCCCGCATATTATAAAAAATGAATTGGTTAGTTTACATTTCTTTAATGTCAACTAATTTTATGTAACCACTTGTAGTCGTATTCCGATTAATTATTTGAGAAAGTCAATAGATTCTGTCAGCAGTTTTTCAAGATTAATAGATAAATTGGACGATTTAAAAAATACGTAACTCGTTTGAGTTTAAAAAATCCTAGTTGCTTTTCTTCTAATTTTTTAGAATGTCAATATATTGTAAAAATAAAAAAAAGCTCACATACGATTTTGAAAGGTCGATTAATGCAAATAAAGTGTATCAGAGATAAATTATCTAGATGGGAATTTGGAAAAATGAACAGTTTAAATTATAAAATTCAAAAAAAGTCAATTATTTAGACTTCCACTTTTATAAAAGTGATATAATTGGACTAAAACTTTTGATAACATAAGCCATCTATCTAAAAAATATATATAAAATATGACTGGTTCAATTGAAATTGAGTAATAACAAATTGAATAAATAAAAATATATGAAAGAACAACATGTTCAATGGAAATTGTTAGAAATACACTAATTTCATAATGTGTCATGGAAGAAACGAAAGAGTCTATTGAGAATTTCGAAAAATAAAACTGTCATATTAGAATTAATCAAACATCGTTGGATTCAATCGAAATTTCTAGATGAGAGTTCGATTAGCGAAGACTTTTTTATATTGAATAGCTCAGAATGAAAATTTGCGAAAAGTTCATCAGCTTGGTATTATTTTTTTTTGAAAAGTCAATCAAATAAATTGAAGTTTTATATAACAATGATAAAAATCATTGACTGATTATTTTGTACTGTTTCCAGTATTTTTTTATTTGATTTAAAAAAATAAAATCGACAATCATCTTTAATCTAAATTATTATCAATCAAATAATTTTGCTGATTGTTTCATTTATTTAAATAAATATTAGAAGTAATGTACAACAGTATCGTGTACCACTAAAGTCAATTTTCAACAAACTAACAAATATTTTTGTTAAAATCTTTTAATATTTTAGTTATGAAATAACTCAATGGAATAATCTATGTTCTTTTGATGAACTATTAGTTCATATAATGCTAAGACAAACAACAAATACTTCTATTAAAAATTAAAACTTGAAATACGTGATATTCGTTTGCTTTCTTATTCATATAAAAGATATGAAGACAGGACAAGATCAATTCATTTAATCATTTT